CCCCCCACATGATACTGTATCTGCCTTTCTGCCCAGCCCCCGCATCTCACAACGGGGGCCTGATCCCCCAGGTGGGTGCCTGTGCTGCTGCCATGGTGACCTGGGAGAATTTAAACACCCCCCCCCCGGGCGCTGGCTCATGCTTACTCTGCCCAGGTGCCAGCCCTGCCACAAGACGAGGGGTTTTGGGGGGGGAGGAGGAGAGGTTAGGAGACCCGTCATTTTCCCAGACCTCTCACCATTTCCCCACAACTCATCACCCGCCTTTCAGTTTTGCTCTTGATTTCGAAATCAGCCGTGCAACGCCTCACCCGGCAAAACAGTGCTCACCTCCCGCCCCGCCAGGTTAACTCATCTGCCAACTCCCCCCCAAGATAGGAGGCGCCCCTCCCCCTGCCCTCCTAGTCCTCCTAGTCCAGTCCTAGGTTTGCTTCTAGCCCTGAAGGCATCTAAAGCCAGGCAAATGCTCCTTTAAGTGAAAGACATAAGAACATAAGAACGGCCCTACTGGGTCAGACCAAAGGTCCATCTAGCCCAGTATCCTGTCTGCCGACAGTGGCCAATGCCAGGTGCCCCAGAGGGAATGAACAGAACAGGGAATCACCAAGTGATCCATCCCCTGTCGCCCATCCCAGCTTCTGGCAAACAGAGGCTAGGGACACCATCCCTGTCCATCCTGGCTAATAGGGATTGATGGACCTATCCTCCATGAATGTATCTAGTTCATTTTTGAACCCTGTTATGGTCTTGGCCTTCACCACATCCTCTGGCAAGGAGTTCCACAGGTTGACGTGAAAAAATACTTCCTTCTGTTTGTTTTCAACCTGCTGCCTATTAATTTCATTTGGTGACCCCTAGTTCTTGTGTTATGAGAAGTAGTAAACAACACTTCCTTATCTACTTTCTCTACACCAGTCATGATTTTATAGACTTCAATCATATCTCCCCTTAGCTGCCTCTTTTCCAAGCTGAAAAGTCCCAGTCTTATTAATCTCTCCTCATACAGAAGCCGAAGACTTCAAAGACCCCAAAGCAAAGGACCCCGACCCACATTCCAACCCACCCCCTCCCCATCCAGCCTCCTCTGAACCCCGGGACACCAGGCACCCAGCTCCTGATGCTGCAGCTCCCAGCTCCGAGGTGGATCCCACGCTCCAGCACCACCCACAGCCCAAAGGGGACGCGACTGTGGATGCATCAGTGGCCAGTGGGGGTGGGGAAGGTGACCTTGGAACTTCCCCTGTCCCCAAAGATCAGATCAAGTCTGGATGAAGTTGGGAAGGGGAAGGGGAGTTGACTGGCCCCAGGACGACCCATGACCAAAATAGCTGGGAAGGGGGAGAGCCAGGACACATGCAAGCAATTGCATCCAGCCTTCTGCACAGTCATCAATCACTCAGGACTCGTCTGAGGGTTCGGAGGGGCAGCCCACAGACAACACCAGCACCCCCAGCCCCCGCTCTGATAGGGCCTCATACCCAACGATTCCCCTCTGGGGGAAATGCAAAGCCTGATCATCCCAAAAGGCTTTCAAACCTGGTCCCTGCGCCTCTCCATCCCTGGTGTAAAGTCCACCCCGGACAGCACAGTTTACAAACCCCGGGAAATCAGTTTTATAAACCCTGCTTCTGTAGCCTGAGGGAACAGGGTCTAGTAGTTAGAGCTGGGGGTGGTGGTGGTTGTCAGGACACCTGGGTTCTATTCCCAGCAGGGAGAGGGGAGTGGCGTCTGGTGGGTTAGAGCAGGGGGGTTGGAAGCCAGGACTCCTGGCTTCACTTCCCAGCACCAGAACTATCTTGCCAGGAGCCTGAATAAACCACCTGGCCTCTGTGTCAAAGAAGGATCATCTCTCTCTGGAGTACAAGCCAGGATAGGACAACCTGTGACACTCCCCCACCCCCAGTAACACGCTGCTCCCCAGGGAGTCAGAGATGAGCCCAGCCCAGCCGGACATAGAGCACAATCCTCTATTGCCCTGGACAGCCCAGCAGATCCCTGCCCCGCCACAGACAAGTGTCCTGGTCCCATTCACACCAGCACGGGATCCAGGAGTCACTCCACTGGAGTCACACAAGGGAAAACTTGTGGGAGCAGAATTGGGCCCAGTTGCTCCAAATTTCCACCGGGGGAGGGGAGAATCAGCCCCCGCCGGCACTGGCTGGGCCCGATCCTGCCCTCACTCGGCCACAGCGCTGTAAAGGCAGCGGGTGTGAATGAGCGTCACTCCCCTGGAGTCCAGGCAGCAAAATTCACCAACCGGGGCCCCGCTCCCGGGGATTTACACCACAGTAAGTGGCATCAGAATCGGGCCCATCCCCCACGGGCCCCAGCTTTGCTCCGGCTCCTGGACTCGGAGCCCAGCCCGCAGGGATCCCAGCTCTACTGGGGGCCGGAGCCCGCCAGCAGCCACGGCAGAGCGACACCGGAGTCACTCCCCAAGATTTATACCCGGTCAGCAGCCCGGGCCGAGCACATGGTGGAGCCGGGGGCGGGGCCGGGATCGGGGGCTCACCGAGGGGCAGCAGGCGGCGAGCCGGGTCCATGCTGTGGGGCGAGGGAGTCCAGCGAGTGGCGCGCACTGAGCTGCAGCCAGAGGGCAGCGCCCCCAAGCGCAGGGCCGGTTATATGGGTGGCGGGGGGCCCCACCCAGGAAGTTGGGGCCGGAGCCTGGGGGGAGGAGAGCAGGATCGGGGGAGGGCCATGTGTGGGGAGATGGGAGGGGAGACCTCGGGGGAGGGGGAGCCGTGGGGGTGACAGAAAAGGGGGGCAGCTGACAGGCCGGTGCGGGCAATATTTTAACTAGGGGCTCCCACTAAATGACAGACCCCGGTCTGGGCTGAGCCCCCATCCCAGGGGGGCTTGCGGGGGCGGGGCATGGATTTGGTTCCCGTTTACACAGTTGTCCCCAACCAGACAGCTACATGGGGCAATCGGGGCGCCCCGGGGGATGCTACAGCGGGTGTCTGCCCAGGTCTCGAGGTGCAGAGTGGGGGGCAGAAAGAGCCCCCCTTCCTGGGGTTAGCACTGGGGGAGACCAGAGGGAGAGGTGCCTGGGGAATACCTGAAGATGGGATGGCGCAGGGGGCTGGACGGGTGTGCGTGGGGCTGGAGGGAGGTGGGGAAGGCGGGCGGAGCGGGTGAGTGGATAGAAGGGTGTGTGGCGAATTGAGGGAGGTTGGCTGGGAGGGAGGGGTTTGGTGTATATGAGGATATATGCTTTGGAGACCAACGTGCTGGGCTCCCATCCATTCTGACACACCACAGACACTGTTCTAAACTCCCCAGGCCCGGGGGACCCTTCTTTGGATCAGAGACACCCCTACCCCTGGACGCACCCTGAGATGACCCCAGGAATGACCCAGCAGGGCCTGTACCAGCCCGGCCTCCAGCCCCAAGCTTATCTCCACCCCATGCTACCACTCCTCCTGTCTGTGCTGCTCCCCCAGCCCCATACACCCCTGTTGTAACCCCTTGTGCCCCCTGGAACGCAGCCCCAGCACGGTGCGGAGCCCAGATTAGCAGGGTCGGGCAGCCGGGGGCTGCTTTTCCCCTTGGAGTGCAACAGATGAAGAGCTGCCGACTTTCCAGCCCAGCTGGGGCCAGATTCAAAGCCCATCCAAGTCCCGGGAACAGCCCCCCAGTGCAGAGACATCCCGGGGTAGATCTGTGCTTGGCTGGGAGCTCACGACCTGCACTCACCCCCACCGTTACCTGTAAATCTCTTCAGCCTTGTGTTGTTAACCTGGGGAACTCCCTGCCACAGGAGAGTGGGGGAAAGCAAGAGCTTCACAGGGTTTGGAAAGGGCTGCGATATTGATACGGGGCAATGCAGCCGTTAAGTGTGATGCTCTTCGTGAGGAGAGAGATGGTAAAGAAGGGACTAGAACCCACAAGTCCTGGTGCCAAGTCCCCCTTCCCCCTGCTCTAACCACTAGACCAGGGGTGGGCAAACTTTTTGGCCCGAGGGCCACATCGGGGTGTGAAACTTTATGGAGGGCCGGGTAGGGAAGGCTGTGCCACCCCAAACAGCCTGGCCCCTGCCCCCATCCACCCCCTCCCACTTCCCGCCCCCTTCAGAACCCCCAACCTATCCAACACCCCCCGCTCCTTATCCCCTGACCACCCCCTCCCAGGAACCTCTGCCCCTAACTGCCCCCTCGCGACCCCACCCCCTATCCAATCCCCCCTGTTCCCCGTCCCCTGCCCCTTATCCAACCCCCTCCCCGCCCCCTTACCATGCTGCTCAGAGCAGCAGGAGCTGGCAGCCCCACCGCCTGGCGGTGAGGCTGCAGGTGAAGGGGGACAGCAGGGGAGGGGCCGGGGGCTAGGGACAGCAGGGGAGGGGCTGGGGGCTAGGGACAGCGAGGGACGGGCTGGGGGCTAACCTCCCCGGCCAGGAGCTCAGGGGCCGGGCAGGAGGGTCCCGCAGACCAGATGTGGCCCACGGACAGTAGTTTGCTCACCTCTGCACTAGACCCCACTTCCCTCCTCAAGCTGCGACTAGAACCCAGGAGTCCTGACCCCCAGCCTGCTCTCACCCCACAGGCTGCCTCCTGCTTGACAGGGTCATGCCCTTTGGGATGTGGGGGGCAGTTCAGGTCGGGCTTCTGCGGTCCCATAGCTGGAGCCCGGGGGATTGTGTCACTGTGGGGATATCCTGGCCACCCCCTGGGCAGGCACCAGAGACCTCATGGAAACATTGCCCCAGCAGAAACAGGAACCGACAGGTGAGATCAGCTGGGGGATGGGGGCGGGGGAATGTCCAACTGTGAGGCACCGGGCTGGGACAGCAGGGCCCTGTGAGACAGGACTGAGGGGCATCTGGAAAGCTGGGGGACATGGCTGGAATAGCGGGGGGCTGCGGGTCACAGTCTCCCCCCTAAGATATTCTGTAGTGCTGGGCAGCTCTGGCACAACCCAACCCCCCTTTGAGCCCCCATCAATACACCCCAACCCCTGGTACCCCCGAAGTGTACTCTGACCCCCCCACCAACAGCTCAAATACACCCCATCTCCTGCAGGAGCAGAGAAGTGAAAGCGCCGACAAACCAGGGCCCTCCTCACTCGTGGGCTCCTGTTGTCGTTCTGGGGGAAGTGGTGGCCCTGGGCCGGCCGCAGTGCAGAACTCGGACACCCTGGCGCTGGCTCTGGGAGACGCCACTATTGTGCTGGAGCGTGGGCCGGCTCCTTCCTCTCGCACCCGTGCTCAGCCCGTGTCTGTGCCGCATGGGCAGCTCCTGCCCAGGATCTGGGGGGCGGGGGAAACAGGGCATCCCACAAACGGGCCGGGGGGACGCAGTTTTGGGAAATCAGAGCCACAAATTGGATCTATCTACCAGCCCAGAGCAGGGTCTAATTTTGTCCAGCATCTTCTACGTTTCTGGTGCAAATGACATAGAGGGTCTGTTGGGTTAGAAGGGTGGGGGGGCGGGTGTGCTGGGTGTCAGGACTCCTGGGTTCTGTTCCCAGCTCTGGAAGGAGAATGGGGTCATAACAGAACCCAGGAGTCCTGACTCCTAGCCCCTCTGCTCTGACCTCTAGACCCCACTGCAAATCACCCCTTTGATCAGCCCATTGTCCTGCCCACTTATCCCCCAGCGAGATGCAGGGATGGCTCCAGCCCTGTCTGCTCCTCTGTGCGGACGGAAGGGAAGAGTTTGTTTTATTAAATAAACTGGTCGCCGAGTCCCCCCCCCGCACTTCCATAGTGTGTGAACAACCAACGCAGCAGTAGACAGCCCAGGCCGAGAGGCCAAAACCAGCCAGTGTTGTACATTTAGTGTTTGCTGTATCTGGGGGAAGAGCTGTACTACATGGGCCGGGGGTTATTTATGATTTCTGTATTTTGAGTCCTTATCACTACAGGCAGCTGTGACAGTTTCAAAATACGGGGGGGACCAGAGTGCATCCCTGACAGACTCAAATGGGGCCAGTTCAGATCCCGGTAACTAGCAAGTAATTCTCAATCGCAGCCCAGAGTTTCCCAGAATGCACTGGGACAAACTCCGGCAGCAAGGAGGAGGCAGGTGGAAAAGGCTGCTGCGTGGACACCAGCCTGCGTGTTGTTAGTAGGTCAGCTGAGAGAGTCACAGCCAGGACACAAGGACTGGACACGAACGTGTCTACTGCAAAGCAATGGGCTTAAGGCAGTTGCAGTGTATTGTGCTTGCACATCTATAGTTGCACAGTGCCCTTGGAGCCTAATGTGGTTGCACTGGTAGCATATTGTGTTTGCACACTTGCACTTTCAGTGGGGTGTGCTTGCATGACTGTCATTATACTTGTGAGCTTGCCAGGTTGTTGCACAGTTGCACTTTCAGCATAAAGGTGCTTGCATGCTTGCAGTTGCACCATTGCATTTGCAGCGTATGGTGCTCACATGGTTGCACGTGTAGTATAGTGCACTTGCACAGCTGTGCAATTTTCCTTGCAGTGTTGTGGTGCACAGTGGTAGTTGCACAGTTACACCGGGAGCATTGTGTGCTTGTACGGGTTTAGCTGCACAATTGTACCATTGCACTTGCAGCATTGTGCTTTTGTACAGTTGTAGTGGAGCTGATGCACCTGTAGTGTAGCGTTTGTACAGCGGCACCATTGTACATGCTGCATTGTGCGCTTGCCTTGCCGTCCTTACCCAA